ATACAGACTTTTGATGTGGACGTTACAGTTTTGGTCCATTTTTTTGACAGTCAGCATGTCAGGAAAAATGTTTTTCTGTGATTTTGCTCGATATCTGTGATTGAATAGAACAGTAAATATCTGTGTATATGGTTTAAAAAATGATTTACCATTTTTTATTCCTTAATAATTATATTTTTCTTTCAAAGCAAGATATCAGCAGATATCAAAGCAGATATCTGTAAATTCTGACATCTTTTTGCTGGTTTTAATTTAAAAAATAGTATCATTTTGTGGTGACACACATTGTGAAAACAAATACAGACTTTTGATGTGGATGTTTTTTGACAGTCAGAGTGAAAATTTATATATTTTTCTGTGATTTATTGGATATTATCTGTAACTGGGGGAAAAAAAACAAAAGCAGAGAAAACATCTGACACAACAGTTGAAAAATGAAATGATTTCCATGATTTTTAAAAACAGTTCTTGTCATAAATTTTTTTCTTTCACATAACAGAAAATAATTGTAAAGTAATCACATTTGTTTCCTGATTTAAATACAGCAATCTGGTGTAAGTTTATGATTGAATGTTGTAAAACAGTAAATTATTATGTATAAAAATACAGATTTTTGAAGTGGACATGATTTTACAGTTTTCTGTTTTTTTAACAGTCAACATGCAAACCGATGCTTTTTTGTGATTTTACGAGATAAGTTCTGTAAAACAAGAGTTGAAAATCTGATTTAGCATTTTTCAATCCTAATACGCATACATTTTCTGTCAAAGAACAGCAACTTTGTGTAAAATATGTATATTTTTTGCTGATTTAAATATAGTAAAAAAAAAAAAAAACAACTTAATTTTACAGTTAAATGCTACAAAAGAACAAATATACAATTTTTAAATATACAAAGTTTCATATGGACATTATTAACAGTTCTGGCTTTTTTTTCTTTTTCTTCTTCTTTGTGAACACATACATGAATATATTATTTTTTTCTGTGTGTTTATGAGCTTTTTCTTTTAAATTATGGTGACTGTAAAGTAATCTCTCTCTTTTTTTTTTTTTTGCTAATTTGACTACACTAGTGTCAAACACTGTGAAAGAATACATAAGATATTTAGAATAAAGCAGATTTCTGGTGTGGATGTAATTCATAGTTTTGGCCAGTTTTCTAAATTCATACATTTTCTGTTTTTACTGAGAAATTTATTACCATTTACATTTAACATTTGTAAAATACCTATTAGAAATTGTTTGCCATTTTAAAATCCTTAATATACAGAATCTTTCTTTCAAATAATGGCCAACATATGTAAAACACATTTATATTACTAAATGAAATACCAGTAAAATAAATAAATAAAAAATAAAAATGTCACTTTAAAGTTAAACACTGTAAAAGTACAAATATATTATTTTTTAAAAATGAGAGTTTGAGGACATTATTTACAATTTTGGCCTTTTTTTTTTATTTTTAAAACAGTTATCTAAATTATCTATAATAAATAGATTATACAATAAATAAATATAATACATCTAATAAATCTATAATAAAACAAGTCTGTAAAATAACAGTTAAAAATAAATGAAATGATTTACAAAGGATGACAAATATCTGCAAATTAATCTTTTTTTTTATTATCTAAGCACAAAAAAAGTTGTGTGACTTTATGGTTCATTTATGTTAAAGAGCAAATAAAAAGAATTTCTTTATTATAAAAATAAGAGTTTTTGTTCATGACCCAGGACAGAGAAAATCTATAAAATACCTGTGAATTGTATGAAAACAACACAGTTCAAAGCTGATGTTTACAGCCAGCAACATGACTCCTTCTCTCCTTTGTAAACTTCATGTCTCCTCCTTTGTGTCCAGACCAGCAGCAGGAACAATAACGCAGT